AAGCTCACACAATTAGTTAGGGAGTCTAAGTGAACATTGCGTGTAAACATTTCATTCTGACTGTGGAATCTGAGTGAATATTGTGTATTTCAGCCATGAAATGGATCTGTTGATGCTGATAAATTGCGACTCTGGACTTAATTATTTTCCACTAAGCATTGTGAACACTTTTATCAAGAAGTGAAATCTGGTTATAACGAACATATTTGCACTGTCTCTTGAAGTTCATCATGTATTGCACATAATTTTTTATTTATTTTGTGTTCTACTTCTCAACAAGTTGCTCCTGAACAGGATTGCGCTAGGTTGTCATGGAGATACAACAGTCAAGCTCTGGGATCTCTGCCCTTGGATGAACACTTTTTTTTTGAGTATTGTGTCATCTGCATCTTTGCTTGGATTAAACACATCAAACGAACATGGCTGTAGAATGTTCACTGGCTTTGACTTGGTTCGTTTAGATGATTAGCACTTCCGTTATTTAATGCGTGGCTGCTTGGCTTGCTGCACATGCTGACTGTGATCACCATCACTGGTTTGTCCCATCTGGATGCTACAAGTTGGAAATGGGGATTCTTTGGGGAGTTGTAATTTAGACATCAATGATGTAAGTGACATTCTTATTGGATGTGTGTTTTTGTGTTCTGAAATATGTGCATTATTCTATGTCTTGTGAAGAATTCTGTCTGCAATTACCTTGCCATCAATTGTGGTGTTGGATCCATCAGGCTCCCGGTACAGAGGCCCTGAGGCTTCAACTCAATGTGCTGAGTCAGCATTAACTAATTCTGTTGGTGTATGGTCGGAATTGTTGGGAGAAAATAACATTTCTAAGAAGGCTTTTATGTCGATGATATTTGTACATTATGTAAGTATTGATGGAGAGATGTTATGTCTGCCACATAAGGCTAGGGTAGTTCTCTGTGGAGTTGCATTCCTTAGTCATCTTAGAAACCTAGGATAATTGGTTTGAATCTAAGTTTTGTCCTGATGTTGTTTCTGGGTTTGTCAGGACCGTACCTATGTTGTGGATTTCACCAAGTGGTCATCTACGACCAGCAACATTGTTTCCCACGTTAAGCTCATGCAGTGATATAAGTGAAACACTTGTAGGCTGAACCAAAGTCGCTGGCTCACTGTTTTTTGCTGATGAGATAAATCTATGTGACTTTTAAGAAAGATATTCTTGTCCAAACTAAGGAAGGACAGGAAGATGTCCATGATATCAACCACTGGTTTGTCTGGTCCAGACTTGACCATGTTATCAACCACTATTTAAGATAGTTCTTGATCTGTAAATGAAGATAAAATCACTTCCAGAACGCCATTGCTACATTATCAAGGAAGGTATGAGAAGATAGTTCTTGATCTCTTGCTGTGTCACCAGTGATGACGTTGCTGACATTCGAGTGCCTTCCAGATAGGATGCAGTTAATGGCTTTCATGGGTCAGATATTAACCATTATCCTCTGATTGGATTCTGTCAACATTGTGACGCCAAGAACCCTTGGTTCCAATGTCCAGTCACTGCTCCTGGGTACCATGTTCTGTTCTTTGAGTGGGTCAAACATTCCACAGATTAATGTGACAGAATTACAGTGTGGCTGAGCCAAGTTTAAACCAAATAAGATACGATTCTTTTGTACGTTATTTTGTTTGAATGTGTACATTTCAAATAATGTAACAATCTTGGCCAAAATGTTCAATCAACTATCTTTGGTTATTGGTTTTCTGGAGCTTTCTTCTCTTTGATTCTTGTGAATGGTTAAAAAGTAAATCTTTTTTGTGATCAAGTAGAGGCAAAACCTGTACAAGGGATTGTAATGAAAATCTGAGTTTGTCACAAAATGTTGATTTTCAAATTGACATTAAGATTTAATTCCTAAAACAACTGAGGCTTGATGGGTGTGGGACAGGCAAGAACCTAGGTCTGTAATTACTCTGTAGTCTGTCGTGAAAGGTAAAATATGCCTGTAGTTCAAATCCATTCACAATCATCAGCAGACACATTCAGGCTCTGTGTAGCTTGTGGGAGAGAGCTCACAATCATCAGCAGACACATTCAGGCTCTGTGTAGCTTGTGGGAGAGAGCTCACAATCATCAGCAGACACATTCAGGCTCTGTGTAGCTTGTGGGAGAGAGCTCACAATCATCAGCAGACACATTCAGGCTCTGTGTAGCTTGTGGGAAAGACCTCACGTGAAGGGAGAATCTATGGTTATTTAAAAACAATTGTTGCTTAAAAGCCAAAGCATTGTTTTTCATATTTTAGTCGGGACACAGCAGTTAAATAGAGAATCAGTCTGAAATAAAAGCATACAAATACAATAACATACAGTCACCAATATGTGCTGATGACACCAGGGGTCACAGTATGCCGTAGACTAGTTACCATGGTGATGCCAGGGGTTCACAGACAATTCATTACAGTTGCTGTTGTAGCAGCTATAAAATTTCCAAGTCCCGTGATGGGATTCAAACCACGGACCTTCTGATCCGAGATCAGACGCCTTGTCCACATGACCAAAGAGGTTAACTGCATCCGCAAGCTGACAAGGTAAGGATGTCATCTGTGGGATGACTCCACGCCCTGCTACATACTCCCCCATCAACAGAAGGCACGTCCCGGGCCGCATAGTAGGGTACTGAGGCTTAGTCTGCTCAAATTTAGTATGAACGTGCTCAACCCCACGTTGGGCGCCAATGTAACTCCCTTAGAACTTCCGAGTCCCGTGATGGGCTTCGAACTACGGACCTTCTGATCTGAGGTCGGACGCCTTGTCCACATGACAAGATAGGTTAACCTCGTCAGCAAGCTGACAAGGTAAGAATGTCATCTGTGGGATGACTCCACGCCCTGCTACACTATGATGACACCAGGCGGTCACAGCCAGACTTTAGGTCTGTGCTCGTGGTACACGTCAAGGGACGGTGGGGTAGCCTCATGGTTAAGGCAGTCGCTTGTCACGCCAAAGGCCAGGGTTTGATTCCCCACATGGGTCCAATATGTGAAGCCCATTTCAGGTGTCCCCCAGCCGTGATGTTGCTGGAATAGTGCTAAACGCAGCGTGAAATCATACCCACTCACAGCTATGGACTATCTTGTGTATCTCTGCTGTGATGGGGAATTGAGATGCATTGCTACATTTCAATATTCAGTCATATGAACTGAAGGAGAAATATTTCTACTCAGAACTGAAGTTTTATCCCAGAAAGTAATTCATGCAGCTTCTCAAGTTGTAATGAGATCTGTTACTGCAAAATTGAGGAATGTCAAAAGAACGCTAACAAACTTTGTCACCAAAGTTGGCAAAATGTTGATATTTTCAAAAAAATATTTTCATCAATCATGAAGAATTGCACTGTGACGAGGAAAAGTATTCTTGCATTGATTGAAAAGATGACACTTGTGATAATTACATGGCTTGTGTCGCACCACGGAACACGAGATTATTCTCTTCATTAATAATAAATGTGTTCATCTTTGTCTACGGAAGCCTGGACACTTCAAGACAAGCCATATGAAACATGTGAAGTCAACCACAAGTTTCTTTAGAAGAGAGCTAATTTCAATTATAATGGTTCTGTTTCATGTAATTTGACTGATTTTCATTTTGTTGAAGTTGTGCTTAAAGTGGTTCCATGTCTAACCTAATTATTTTACAGAAATATTGTTCATGTTTGAATTCGAAGTTGCCTCATCTATCTTGGTAGATTTGTTTAGGACGTCGGTGTAGTGTGCCAAAGGTGTGGGACATTACCTTCTTATTTAGATTCAAACTTAATGTACTTTTGTAAATGTGAAATTTTGCTGTGTTGAACATTCAAGACATTTTCCTTGGTATCTGTCCCTGTGATTAGATGCTTCCATGAGCAATAATGTCTTGTAGCTTGGCGTGGTCGCCTGTGAAAAACGTTTTGGAATGTGAAGTAAGGAAATCGCTTTCTATTTTCTTCAAGCCAAAATTGAATTTTTTATGTGACCCGTGACAAGTATCTGATTCCTGGTTAGTAGACTTGATTCCGTGGGCATGAATCCTGGTAATAAAGACAGAAATCTCCTGAACAAGGCTTCATCCAAGATTTGGTTCAATTATTCATGGTAATACCCATTTTGGTTTCAATTAAAACTTGCCAAGGATTACAACCCGGGTCTCCTCTGATCAATCAGCCTGTCGGCCGACATGTCCCTAAACTAATAGAATTTTCACTGCCACGGTCCAGTGGCGACTAAGATATTGATGACAGTAATCAATGTGATTTTCTGAAAAAGCTGACAACGAAACACTAAATAATTTTCCATGGTGTGCGTAATGCACAGAAAGCTGTATTCCCGTGTGATTTTAAGAATGGAGAAATAGCATCGTTAGTGTCGAACTCCTGTAATTTGCCGGAGGAAATTGCCTCGATTTTTATCCAGGCTCGGTTAAGACCCTGTCTCCATGGACAGCTAAGAGTTTTTGTCGTTGCGATTACCATGGCAGTGGTATTACTCTGTGACAGCTGGTATTTGGACACTTTTTATCCATTTTGCTTAAAAGCCAGCGATATCATTGCTGTGTGCTCCATATTGATACTGGTTATTGTGATCGACCTCTGGCTGACAGGTTACATCGTTATGGTGCAAGTCAACCGGAAATGTATTTATTTAAGCAAATGTACTGGAAAATGCTCACGGAGGTGTAAGCTCGTGTAAGCTGCTAATAGTGATGTTTGTCCGAGTGTACAGACTGCTCAAGTCCCAGCGAGCATGACCTGAATCACTCAGGTTTCTGCCACGTTGCCACGACAGCTGATGTTAATGTGTTTTAGATAAATATTGATTCGACAGATACATGTTTTGGGAGTTTCATGACGTTTGTTTGTCAATATGCATCATGAACTTCTCCACCTACGGTTATTGGAGATTTAAATGTTTTTGTATCTGTCAGATTTTGTCACGTCAGGTTTGCCGGATACCTTGTTATCTCTGTAACTCAAATGTATTACCTCCTTACAGGACCAAGCTGATGGCAGGTAGTCTCCCCTTGAATTTGGTGTTAGTTTCAACTTGTCTCCACTAGAGGGCTACAAGAATGCCGATCACCTTGCCACTCACCAAAGTGGCAGTCGATCCAGGTAAGTTAGTACTTGTATACTAAACTTTCTTGAGTGTCTTCAAAAGTACAGATCGGACCATATTTGACAAATATGCATTGATATGTCCTCTAGTCTTAAGTTTAGACAATTGATCCTTCGGAAAAATTTGTTCACAGTGTGTTTGTTGTTAAAGATGTTTGCGGAATGTGAAGTTTTATGTGTTCAAAGCCAAGTCTGTTGAAATGACATCTTTGTGCAAGTACTCGGCTGTTGTGTCGTTTGTCAGGTAGGAGTTGGTATTGTTATGTCTGAATCTGTGTGTTCATTCATGCAGAACAGCGCAGTGGCCTGATACTGCCACAAACAGATGTCACACATGCATATTGATTCCATGTTTTGGTGTGAATTTGCAGTGTACAGGGAAACATTCCCTTCCTGCAGTTGCTGGAATCCATCATAAATATGCAGGCTTGGCTAAAAAATGATGGTTCCACGATTTTATTTTTTGCAACCTGTCAAAATACATTTTTCATGCCCTCCCAAAAGACTCAAAGTCACAAATATTATTTATATTTTGCATGGCTCTGAATCAGGTTGATTTCTGGTGTCCCCCGCCGTGATATTGCTGAAATATTGCTAAAAGTGGCGTAAAACCAAACTCACTCACTCACTGAATCAGGTTGTTTGTCTGGTTTCACGAATGGGTGTCCTTCAATAAACCCAACAATAAACTGATGGGAAGCTCATTCAAGTTCTGGTAACAATAACCACTCACTCACTCACTACACAATGTCCCACACAATAAACTGATGGGAAGCTCATTCAAGTTCTGGTAACAATAACCACTCACTCACTCACTACACAATGTCCCACACAATAAACTGATGGGAAGCTCATTCAAGTTCTGGTAACAATAACCACTCACTCACTCACTACACAATGTCCCACACAATAAACTGATGGGAAGCTCATTCAAGTTCTGGTAACAATAACCACTCACTCACTCACTACACAATGTCCCACACAATAAACTGATGGGAAGCTCATTCAAGTTCTGGTAACAATAACCACTCACTCACTCACTACACAATGTCCCACACAATAAACTGATGGGAAGCTCATTCAAGTTCTGGTAACAATAACCACTCACTCACTCACTACACAATGTCCCACACAATAAACTGATGGGAAGCTCATTCAAGTTCTGGTAACAATAACCACTCACTCACTCACTACACAATGTCCCCCACAATAAACTGATGGGAAGCTCATTCAAGTTCTGGTAACAATAACCACTCACTCACTCACTACACAATGTCCCCCACAATAAACTGATGGGAAGCTCATTCAAGTTCTGGTAACAATAACCACTCACTCACTCACTACACAATGTCCCCCACAATAAACTGATGGGAAGCTCATTCAAGTTCTGGTAACAATAACCACTCACTCACTCACTACACAATGTCCCACACAATAAACTGATGGGAAGCTCATTCAAGTTCTGGTAACAATAACCACTCACTCACTCACTACACAATGTCCCCCACAATAAACTGATGGGAAGCTCATTCAAGTTCTGGTAACAATAACCACTCACTCACTCACTACACAATGTCCCCCACAATAAACTGATGGGAAGCTCATTCAAGTTCTGGTAACAATAACCACTCACTCACTCACTACACAATGTCCCACACAATAAACTGATGGGAAGCTCATTCAAGTTCTGGTAACAATAACCACTCACTCACTCACTACACAATGTCCCACACAATAAACTGATGGGAAGCTCATTCAAGTTCTGGTAACAATAACCACTCACTCACTCACTACACAATGTCCCCCACAATAAACTGATGGGAAGCTCATTCAAGTTCTGGTAACAATAACCACTCACTCACTCACTACACAATGTCCCACACAATAAACTGATGGGAAGCTCATTCAAGTTCTGGTAACAATAACCACTCACTCACTCACTACACAATGTCCCACACAATAAACTGATGGGAAGCTCATTCAAGTTCTGGTAACAATAACCACTCACTCACTCACTACACAATGTCCCACACAATAAACTGATGGGAAGCTCATTCAAGTTCTGGTAACAATAACCACTCACTCACTCACTACACAATGTCCCCCACAATAAACTGATGGGAAGCTCATTCAAGTTCTGGTAACAATAACCACTCACTCACTCACTACACAATGTCCCCCACAATAAACTGATGGGAAGCTCATTCAAGTTCTGGTAACAATAACCACTCACTCACTCACTACACAATGTCCCCCACAATAAACTGATGGGAAGCTCATTCAAGTTCTGGTAACAATAACCACTCACTCACTCACTACACAATGTCCCCCACAATAAACTGATGGGAAGCTCATTCAAGTTCTGGTAACAATAACCACTCACTCACTCACTACACAATGTCCCACACAATAAACTGATGGGAAGCTCATTCAAGTTCTGGTAACAATAACCACTCACTCACTCACTACACAATGTCCCCCACAATAAACTGATGGGAAGCTCATTCAAGTTCTGGTAACATTAACCACTCACTCACTCACTACACAATGTCCCCCACAATAAACTGATGGGAAGCTCATTCAAGTTCTGGTAACATTAACCACTCACTCACTCACTCACTACACAATGTCCCACACAATAAACTGATGGGAAGCTCATTCAAGTTCTGGTAACAATAACCACTCACTCACTCACTACACAATGTCCCACACAATAAACTGATGGGAAGCTCATTCAAGTTCTGGTAACAATAACCACTCACTCACTCACTACACAATGTCCCCCACAATAAACTGATGGGAAGCTCATTCAAGTTCTGGTAACAATAACCACTCACTCACTCACTACACAATGTCCCCCACAATAAACTGATGGGAAGCTCATTCAAGTTCTGGTAACAATAACCACTCACTCACTCACTACACAATGTCCCCCACAATAAACTGATGGGAAGCTCATTCAAGTTCTGGTAACAATAACCACTCACTCACTCACTACACAATGTCCCACACAATAAACTGATGGGAAGCTCATTCAAGTTCTGGTAACAATAACCACTCACTCACTCACTACACAATGTCCCCCACAATAAACTGATGGGAAGCTCATTCAAGTTCTGGTAACAATAACCACTCACTCACTCACTACACAATGTCCCACACAAAAACTGATGGGAAGCTCATTCAAGTTCTGGTAACAATAACCACTCACTCACTCACTACACAATGTCCCCCACAATAAACTGATGGGAAGCTCATTCAAGTTCTGGTAACAATAACCGCTCACTCACTCACTACACAATGTCCCACACAATAAACTGATGGGAAGCTCATTCAAGTTCTGGTTACAATAACCGCTCACTCACTCACTACACAATGTCCCCCACAATAAACTGATGGGAAGCTCATTCAAGTTCTGGTAACAATAACCACTCACTCACTCACTACACAATGTCCCACACAATAAACTGATGGGAAGCTCATTCAAGTTCTGGTAACAATAACCACTCACTCACTCACTACACAATGTCCCCCACAATAAACTGATGGGAAGCTCATTCAAGTTCTGGTAACAATAACCACTCACTCACTCACTACACAATGTCCCACACAATAAACTGATGGGAAGCTTATTCAAGTTCTGGTAACACTAACCACTCACTCACTCACTACACAATGTCCCACACAATAAACTGATGGGAAGCTCATTCAAGTTCTGGTAACAATAAGCACTCACTCACTCACTACATAATGTCCCACACAATAAACTGATGGGAAGCTTATTCACGTTCTGGTAACACTAACCACTCACTCACTCACTACACAATGTCCCACACAATAAACTGATGGGAAGCTCATTCAAGTTCTGGTAACAATTACCACTCACTCACTCACTACACAATGTCCCCCACAATAAACTGATGGGAAGCTCATTCAAGTTCTGGTAACAATAACCACTCACTCACTCACTACACAATGTCCCACACAATAAACTGATGGGAAGCTCATTCAAGTTCTGGTAACAATAACCACTCACTCACTCACTACACAATGTCCCACACAATAAACTGATGGGAAGCTCATTCAAGTTCTGGTAACAATAACCGCTCACTCACTCACTACACAATGTCCCACACAATAAACTGATGGGAAGCTCATTCAAGTTCTGGTAACAATAACCACTCACTCACTCACTACACAATGTCCCACACAATAAACTGATGGGAAGCTCATTCAAGTTCTGGTAACAATAACCGCTCACTCACTCACTACACAATGTCCCCCACAATAAACTGATGGGAAGCTCATTCAAGTTCTGGTAACAATAACCACTCACTCACTCACTACACAATGTCCCACACAATAAACTGATGGGAAGCTTATTCAAGTTCTGGTAACACTAACCACTCACTCACTCACTACACAATGTCCCACACAATAAACTGATGGGAAGCTCATTCAAGTTCTGGTAACAATAACCACTCACTCACTCACTACATAATGTCCCACACAATAAACTGATGGGAAGCTTATTCACGTTCTGGTAACACTAACCACTCACTCACTCACTACACAATGTCCCACACAATAAACTGATGGGAAGCTCATTCAAGTTCTGGTAACAATTACCACTCACTCACTCACTACACAATGTCCCCCACAATAAACTGATGGGAAGCTCATTCAAGTTCTGGTAACAATAACCACTCACTCACTCACTACACAATGTCCCACACAATAAACTGATGGGAAGCTCATTCAAGTTCTGGTAACAATAACCACTCACTCACTCACTACACAATGTCCCACACAATAAACTGATGGGAAGCTCATTCAAGTTCTGGTAACAATAACCGCTCACTCACTCACTACACAATGTCCCACACAATAAACTGATGGGAAGCTCATTCAAGTTCTGGTAACAATAACCACTCACTCACTCACTACACAATGTCCCACACAATAAACTGATGGGAAGCTCATTCAAGTTCTGGTAA